CGAAGTGTCTTGGAGGACTACCATGACATCATGCCCGCAAAGCTGCCAAGTAAGCTCCCACCTAGGAGAGAGGTGGATCACAAGATCGAGCTCGAGTCAGGAGCTCATCCCCTAGCCATGGGTCTTTATCGCATGGCACTACCAGAGTTGGAGGAACTTTGAAAACAACTAAAGGAGTTGCTGGATACCGGATACATTCGTCCGCCTAAGGCTCCATATGGTGCCCCTGTATTGTTCCAGAAGAAGCACGATGGGTCATTGCGGCTAGAAGTGTCTTGGAGGACTACCATGACATCATGCCCGCAAAGCTGCCAAGTAAGCTCCCACCTAGGAGAGAGGTGGATCACAAGATTGAGCTCGAGTCAGGAGCTCATCCCCCAGCCATGGGACCTTATCGCATGGCAACACCGGAGTTGGAGGAACTTCAAAAACAACTGAAGGAGTTGATGGATGCCGGATACATTCGTCCGTCTAAGGCTCCATATGGTGCCCCTGTATTGTTCCAGAAGAAGCACGATGGGTCATTGCAGCTGTGCATCGACTACCGGGCTTTAAATAAGATCACGGTGAAGAATAAGTATCCCATTCCTCTGATTACGGACTTATTCGACAGATTGGGACAGGCAAGGTACTTCACTAAGCTTGACTTGTGCTCGGGATACTATCAAGTACGAATTGCTGAAGGAGATGAACAAAAGATGACATGTGTAACCAGGTACGACTCTTATGAATTCCTGGTTATGCCGTTCGGTCTCACCAATGCTCTAGCTACATTCTGCACCATGATGAACAAAGTGTTGGAGCTTTTCCTAGACCATTTCGTGGTGGTCTACTTGGACGATAATATGATTTATAGCCAAACCATGGACGAGCATGTGGAACACTTGAGGTAGGTATTCCAGGCGCTTAGAAGTAATAAACTCTATGTGAAGAGAGAAAAGTGCTTGTTCGCACAGAAGGAGGTGGTCTTCTTAGGCTACATCATTGGAGGAGGTAAAATTCGCATGGATCAAGCTAAGGTGCGAGTCATACTAGAGTGGGAGCCTCCTACCAAGGTGACAGAGCTGCGATCATTTCTGGACTTGGTGAACTACTACCGAAGATTCATAAAGAGCTACTCAGCATTGACGGCTCCACTGATAGACTTGCTGAAGAAAAATCAGGCATGAGATTGGAGTTCAAAATGCCAGAGGGCATTCGAAGCTTTAAAGAGACTTGCTGAAGAAAAATCAGGCATGAGATTGGAGTTCAAAATGCCAGAGGGCATTCGAAGCTTTAAAGAGAGCTGTGACGGAGGAACCAGTTCTCTTCAAAATGCCAGAGGGCATTCGAAGCTTTAAAGAGAGCTGTGACGGAGGAACCAGTTCTCGCTCTTCCTAACTTCAGCAAGCCCTATGAAGTACACATTGATGCGAGTGACTTCGTAATTGGAGGGGTGTTGATGCAAGAAGGACACCTCGTGGCCTACGAGAGTCGAAAGTTAACGACACCGAGAGGCGGTACACCATTCAAGAGAAGGAGATGATGGTCGTGGTCCACTGTCTCAGAGTTTGGAGGTATTACCTACTTAGGTCCAAATTTGTAGTAAAGACAAACAATGTGGCCACCAGCTATTTCCAGACTCAGAAGAAGTTATCTCCTAAGCAGGCATGATGGCAGGATTTCTTGGCAGAGTTTGACTATGTGCTCGAGTACGAACCGGAAAAAATCAACTTAGTGGCAGATGCGTTAAGCCAGAAGACGGAACTTGCTGCTATGATAAGTCATCCTCGGAGCACCTTACTTGATCGTATTAAGGAAGGTTTGTCTCATGATTCTACAGCCAAGAACATGGTAGACTACGCAAAAGAAGGTAAAACTCGAAGGTTCTGGCTAGAAGGAGACCTGCTTTATACCAAAGGGAGACGGGTGTACGTGCCATTGTTCGGAAATCTAAGGCGGAAGATCCTTAAAGAATGTCATGACTCTCAATAGGCGGGACATCCAGGTGTGCACAGAACTCTAGCTCTTGTAGAAGAGACGTATTATTGGCCTTGCATAAGGGATGATGTTGAGGCCTACGTGAAGACTTGTCTTGTGTGCTAACAAGACAAGATAGAGTAGAGAACACCGACCGGACTGTTAGAACCATTACCTATTCCGAAGAGACCTTGGGAAAGTATTTCCATGGACTTCATCATGGGTCTACCAAAGTCAGATGGATGCAGCATTCTTATGGTGGTGGTTGATCGGTTCTCTAAATACGGTATTTTCATTCCAACCCCAGCCAAGTGTCTAGCCGAGGTAGTGACACCACTATTTCTGAAGCACGTGGTGAAGTATTGGGGGCTACCAAAGTCTATCGTAAGCGATCGGGATGGTCGCTTCACAGGAAGGTTCTGGACGGAACTCTTCAAACTCATGGGGTCAGATCTAAACTTCTCCACTAGCTTCCACCCTCAGACAGATGGCCAGACGGAACGGGTAAACGTCTTGTTGGAGGTATACTTGAGACACTAGGTGAGTGCCAACCAGCAGGATTGGGCAAAGCTACTGGACATAGCCCAATTCTCCTATAATTTGCAAAGGAGTGAGTCTACTGAGAGGAGCCTATTCGAGATTGTCACAGGTCAGCAACCACTCACTCCAAACGCTATTGCTACAGGTTATAAGGGAAATAGCCCTGCCGCTTATCGATTTGCCAAGGGGTGGCAAGATCAGAATGAATTGGCACGCTCGTGCTTGAACAAGGCGGCAAAGAAGATGAAGAAATGAGCCGACAAGAAGTTAAGGCATATGGAGTATCAAGTTGGAGACTTGGTCCTTGTCAAGCTTTCTACATTGGATCGACATAAAGGGCTACACAAGAGCTTGATACGCAAGTATGAGGGCCCATTTCCAATCGAGAAGAGAGTGGGGAACGTGGCTTACAGGATAAAGCTTCCCTCAACCGTGAAGTATCATCCGGTCTTCCATGTGAGCATGTTAAAGCCATATCATCAAGATACGGAAGATTCAGATAGAGGAAAGTCTAGTCGAGCGCCAACAGGGATTCATATGGAGTTCGACAAGGAGGCCGAAAAAATTCTTGCGGATAGGACGGTTCGTGAAGCCAACAACCACCCGAGGTTAGAGTACTTTGTGAAGTAAAAAGGCTTACCCGACAGTGAGAACAGTTAGGAACCTGCGCGATCCTTGTGACAGTTTGAAGACTTGATCGAGAAGTTTTGCGAGGAGAAGACTAAGCGATAAGGACATCGCTTGGATAGGTGGGGGAGAATGTCACGAACCGTCCTATTTTTGGCTCAATTGGGTGCATTTGGACTCACTTATTCATGGTTAGGTCCATGAAGATCCTAGGGTTTTCTAGAGTTTTCTTGGATAATAAAGGTATGATAAATATCTTGTATATAGAAGGTTCTAGGAAGTCTTATTAAAATATCTAAGGACCCTTGTAAAAGCTTCTAGAAAGTCCCATGTAAATATCTAGGGAGATATTTTAGGAGAAGAGTCTAGAGACTTAATCTTAACCATTGATTATAAGAACAATCTAGAAGGCTAATCATAGCCATCTATTGTAAGCTAGCCTTACCTATAAATAGAGGCTAAGGCATTTCATTTGTATCAAGAAAGAGTTGCTAAGCAATAAAGTAATAAGAGCTTCCACTTCCACTCTTGAGTGTTTTCTTCCCTTCTCTTGAGTGAGTGTTTGAGGGATTAGGCTGACTTAGCCATTCTAGTGAGGGAGGTTCAAATGAGGTTTGTGGTGAAAGAATCAGCCCGTGACACCTATGAAGCATGGATTCACCCCCAGAGGCCACGTATCCGTGTCCGACACGAATCAGACACGGATTCGTGCACGACACGTGCACGACACGTGTTGGACACGGTCAATCCGTGTCCGACACGGGTCAATGGTCAAAATAGAGGGACACGGTCAAACAGTCTATGGGACATGGCTAGGATAGGGCTGATGCAAAGAAAAAAAAACGGATGAAAAAAGTAAACCCGAAACCCAAACCCAATCCCCCAAAACAAAACCCTATCTTTCTTTCGCTTACCTGAAGCCGACGCCGCCACAAATTTGGGGTCTCTTTGTCCCTCGTCCTCGTCGCTCGTCCTCGACCCAAACCCTAATCTCCTCGCTCGACCTCGACCCAAACCCTAATCTCCTCGACCTCGACACTCGACGAAGTCTCCGAGTCCTCGACCTCGACGATCGACGCTCGACGAAGATCTCCTCATCCTCCACGCTCGACGCTCGTCCTCAAAATCACAGGTCAGTCTCTCTCTCTCTCTCTCTCTCTCTCTCTCTCTCTCTCTCTCTCTCGACGCTTCGTCTCTCCCTCTATGTTGATCTCTCTCGAGTCTCTCTCTCTCAGTCTCTCTCTTATTCTCTTTCTCAATCGCTTTCTCTTTCAGTCTCTCTCTCTATCTCTCCTATCTGAGTCTCTCTCTCTCTCTCAATCGTCTGTTCGTCTCTCTCTGTCGATCTCTTCATCTCTCACTGATTCCCTTCTCCGTCCCTATCAGTCTCTCTTATGTTTGTTTTGAGAAAACTAACTTTTTTTTGTTTATGCAGCTTCGTGATACTGCTGAAATCCTATTCTTCTTTTGGTAATTTATTTTTTTCAATTTTAGTTTCAATTTTAGTTTTAATACATATGAATATTTTTTAATTTCAATTTTAGTTTCTTAACACAAATGAATTATTAACATTACACAAATGAATTTCATTGATATGTCTAGTAAGCATTGAGAATTTTGTCCATTTTCTATACAAATGAATCCGCAATGAACGTTATTGTGTTTTAAATATCAACACCTTCGAATATTTTAAGCATTGGGAATGTTTGAACATTTAATTCATATCAACAAATGAATCTGCAGTATAATTTTGTTAGTCAAAAAATTATTATACAAATGAATTATTTGTTAGGCAATGAATTATTTGTTAGACAATGAATTATTACACCTCTGAATTATTTGTTAGTCAATAAATTATTACACAAATGAATTATTACACAAATAAATTATTACACAAATGAATATACATATTTAATGAATGAATTACGGATATTTATTTTGGCAATTGTGTTGGAAATTTTGATTGATCCTTCATCCTTGCTCATTGCTGCTTAACTCTAAGTATAATCTGTAAAAAGAAAAATAAAGTCAGTGAGCAACAACTTATTAATTAGTATAATTAGAAAAAAGAGCTTAAAATAATTATTAGCATGCTAACTAATAAATTATAAACATGTAAATATTTAATTGTTAATCACTTAATTTTTAATTAAAAAATATATTTCATATTTTAAATGAAAATACATATTTCTTGCATTGTAATTTGTACTTGTTATTTGTTTATAGTTTATACTAATCGAATTACGTTCTATATATGTTATGGTTTAATATTTAATTAGTACTTGTTGTTTATAGCAATGGAAGCAGAAGGTAGTTCTGGTGGTGTACAGTCTGTTCAAGATGATCACACTCCTTTGTGGAAGTATGTCACGAAGTTGGAGAAGATGGGTAAAGGAGGGGGGAGCTGCCAGGTTCTTCAGCATCAAGTGTAGCAGCAGGAAGTCAAAGCATGTCATCTCGTCCAATTGAGCCAAAGAGGAGGAGGGGAGTCACCACCGTTGAATATGCCTTCAATACAGGGGCAAGAGATAAATTGGATTCAATGATTGCAAGGATGTTCTATACCGGTGGGTTATCATTTAATTTAGCAAGAAATCCTTATTTCTCCAAGATGATCACATATGCCACAAGCAAATCAATTGCCGGTTACAAGCCTCCGGGTTATAATTATTTGAGGACCACTCTTTTGCAACGTGAGAAGGCTCACATAGAGAGGTTGTTGGAGCCCATCAGGGGCACATGGAAGCAGAAGGGGGTCTCTATTTGCAGCGGTGGCTGGGCAGATGCACAAAGGAGGCCACTGATAAATTTCATTACGATCTCAGACAAATGCCGAGGGAGAGCAGAAGAATAAATATTTCATTGCAGAGAAGCTTGAAGCTTGCATTTAAAGAGGTGGGGCCTCAAAATGTGATCCAAATCATTACTGATAATGCTTCAGCATGCAAGGCCGCAGGGGCAGTTGTGGAGGGCAAATTTCCACACATCTTCTGGACTCCATGTGTTGTTCACACCCTCAATCTTTCCCTTAAGAATATTTGTGCTGCGAAAAATACAGAGGCTAATGCAATTCCTTATGCAGAGTGCAGCTGGATTATAGAGGTATATGATGATGCTTTGATGATTAAGAACTTCATCATGAATCACTCAATGAGGTTGGCTATGTTAGAGGTATATGATGATGCTTTGATGATTAAGAACTTCATCATGAATCACTCAATGAGGTTGGCTATGTTTAATGAGTATTCAAAGATGAAGCTTCTTTCAATTGCTGATACTCAATTTTCTTCATGGATCATCATGCTAAAGAGGTTCATGGTGATCAAGAGAAGCCTCCAAGATATGGTTCTTAGCGACCATTGGAGCTCGTACAGAGATGATGATGTGGGAAAAGCACAGTTTGTTAAGGAGAAAGTGCTTGATGATTTGTGGTGGGATAGGGTGGATTATATTATTGCTTTCACTGCTCCTATATATGATATGATTCGACTCACCGATACCGACAAGCCCAGCCTTCATTTGGTATATGATATGTGGGATACAATGATTGAGAAGGTGAAGGTTGTTATTTATAGACATAAGGGCAAAAGAGAAAATGATCCCTCCTCATTTTATAATGTCGTACACAAGATCTTGGAGGATAGATGGAATAAGAGCAAGACTCCACTTGAGTGCTTAGCGCACTCTTTGAATCCAAGGTAATAATTTAGATTATGTTATCAATTCATTATTTTTGATGTGATTATTTCTATTAATAATGTCTAATTCAATGTTAAATTTTAATAGATATTATCACGAGACATGGCTCAATGAGAATATCCATCGGCAAGCACCCCATCAGGATGAGGAGATCTCTTCGGAAAGGGCCAAGTGTTTGAGGAGATATTATCCTAATGCCGATGAACGGAGGACGGTTAACTTGGAATTTGCTAGATTATCAGCTGCTCTTGACACTTTTAGGGATCCAGATTCTCTTACCGATAGAGGATTGATGGATCCAAAATCATGGTGGGTGCTCTATGGATCCTCAACTCCAAATCTTCAAGCATTGGCCTTAAAGCTTCTAGGCCAACCCTGCTCATCCTCTTGCTGCGAAAGGAATTGGAGTACATACTCATTCATTCACTCTTTGAAGAGGAACAAGATGACACTGTTAAGGGTAGAAGATCTTGTGTATGTGCATAGCAATCTTCGTTTGCTTTCTCGATCATCCCAAGAATATCAAGATGGAGAATCGAAGCTGTGGGATATTGGTGGAGATGCATTCGACTCATTTCAGGGTGCCGGTATTCTTGATGTCGCCACCTTGTCTCTTGATGAACCCACCATGGAGGCTGTATTGTTTGCTGATGATGAAGGCAATGAAGAAGTCACTGGACTAGCTTCCACTTCATCTTGATGTATTTTTGCAAGAGATGAATTGGATTCAATGATTGCAAGGATGTTCTATACTGGTGGGTTGTCATTTAATTTGGCAAGAAATCCTTATTTCTCCAAGATGATCACATATGCCGCAAGTAATTCAATTACCGGTTACAAGCCTCCGGGTTATAATTCTTTGAGGACCACTCTTTTGCAACGTGAGAAGGCTCACGTAGAGAGGTTGTTGGAACCCATCAGGTGCACATGGAAGCAGAATGGGGTCTCTATTTGTAGTGATGGCTGGGCAGATGCACAGAGGAGGCCACTGATAAATTTCATTGCGGTCTCAGATAATGGGCCAATGTTCTTGCACTGTGTGAATGCTGAGGGAGAGCAGAAGAATAAATATTTCATTGCAGAGAAGCTTGAAGCTTGCATTAGAGAGGTGGGGCCTCAAAATGTGATCCAAATCATTACTGATAATGCTTCGGCATGCAAAGCCGCAGGGACAGTTGTGGAGGGCAAATTTCCACACATCTTCTGGACTCCATGTGTTGTTTACACCCTCAATCTAGCCCTTAAGAATATCTGTGCTGTGAAGAATACAGAGGCTACTGCAATTGCTTATGCAGAGTGTAGCTGGATTACATAGGTATCTGATGATGCTTTGATGATTAAGAACTTCATCATGAATCACTCAATGAGGCTGGCTATGTTCAATGAGCATTCGAAGATGAAGCTTCTTTCAATTGCTGATACTCGATTTGCTTCATGGATCATCATGCTAAAGAGGTTCACTGTGATCAAGAGAAGCCTCCAAGATATGGTTCTTAGCGACCGTTAGAGCTTGTACAGAGATGATGATGTGGGAAAAACACAGTTTGTTAAGGAGAAAGTGTTTGATGATTTGTGGTGGGATAGGGTGGATTATATTATTGCTTTCACTGCTCCTATATATGATATGATTCGGCTCACCGATACCGACAAGCCCAGCCTTCATTTGGTATATGATATGTGGGATACAATGATTGAGAAGGTGAAGATTGTTATTTATAGACATGAGAGCAAAAGAGAAAATGATCCCTCCTCATTTTATGATGTCGTACACAAGATCTTGGAGGATAGATGGAATAAGAGCAACACGCCACTTGAGTGCTTGGCGCACTCTTTGAATCCAAGGTAATAATTTAGATTATGTTATCAATTCATTATTTTTGATGTGATTATTTCTATTAATAATGTTTAATTCAATGTTAAACTTTAATAGATATTATCACGAGACATGGCTCAATGAGAATATCCATCGGCAAGCACCCCATCAGGATGAGGAGATCTCTTCGGAAAGGTCCAAGTGTCTGAGGAGATATTATCCTAATGCCGATGAACGGAGGACGGTTAACTTGGAATTTGCTAGATTATCAGCTGCTCTTGACACTTTTAGGGATCCAGATTCTCTTACCGATAGAGGATTGATGGATCCAAAATCATGGTGGGTGCTCTATGGATCCTCAACTCCAAATCTTCAAGCATTGGCCTTAAAGCTTCTAGGCCAACCCTGCTCATCCTCTTGCTGCGAAAGGAATTGGAGTACATACTCATTCATTCACTCTTTGAAGAGGAACAAGATGACACTGTTAAGGGTAGAAGATCTTGTGTATGTGCATAGCAATCTTCGTTTGCTTTCTCGATCATCCCAAGAATATCAAGATGGAGAATCGAAGCTGTGGGATATTGGTGGAGATGCATTCGACTCATTTCAGGGTGCCGGTATTCTTGATGTCGCCACCTTGTCTCTTGATGAACCCACCATGGAGGCTGTATTGTTTGCTGATGATGAAGGCAATGAAGAAGTCATCAGACTAGCTTCCACTTGATCTTGATGTATTTTTTGTTTACAAACTTGTTGTTTTGTGATGGAATGAGTAGAGTATGTACTTCAATTTCTTTTTGTTTACAAACTTGTCATTTTGTGATAGAATGAGTATGTACTCCAATTCCTTTTTGTTTACAAATTTGTTATTTTGTGATAGATTCATAATTTAGATTGTTAGTTGAATTTTATAAAATTTTCTATATATAATAATAATTTGAAAAAAAATTCCTCGCCGTATCCCCGTATCCTATTTTTTTTGGATTTTGCTGTATCTCGTATCCGTGTCTGTGTCGTATCCGTGTCCCGTATCCGTATCCGTGCTTCATAGCGTGACACAAACACATAGACTATGGTGGATTTGCTATTATCACGACCACCTACATAATCAGAATTAATATTCTATTAACAATAAAATCTGATCCCCTATAACATAATGTAACATTTGAGGTTCTCTTAATTTATCTTAGGACCATCTTTACAGCATTCTAATGCTCATTATCAGGATTCGTCATGTATCAACTAATCACTCCCACTGCTTGTGTAATGTCTGATCTTGTACAAATCATAGCGAACATTAAACTTCCCACTGTTGATGCATACGATACTCGAGATATATGCATCCTCTCTTCTTCACTGCTAGGACTCATAGTGGATGATAACTTGAAATTAACAGGAAGTAGGGTAGAAATTGACTTATAATCTTGCATGTTAAAGCGCTGCAAGATTTTCTTTAAATAATTCTTCTGAGAAAGCCAAATCTTTCTACTAATTCTATCTCAGTAAATTTGCATCCCTAGAATCTTGTTTGCAGATCCTAAGTTCTTCATTTTAAATTTTCTAGCCAAATATACCTTTAATTCTTTGATACGATCTTTGTTGAGGCCTGCAACCAACATGTCGTCAACATACAACAATAAGATAACAAAGTTATTTTTACCAAACCTTTTGAAATATGCACAAGAGTTTGAATTAAGTCTGTTGTATCTAAGGTTCATGATGAATGTATCAAATCTCTTGTACCAACACCTCGGCGCCTGCTTTAGACCGTACAGAGATTTGATCAATCTGCAAACCAAGTTCTATTTTTCTTTTTCTTCGAAACCTTTTGGTTGGAGCATATAAATTTCTTGTTCAAGATCTCCATGAAGAAATATTGTTTGTACATCTAGCTGCTCTAGATGTAAGTCAAATACAACGCTCATAGCTAGAACTATTCGGGCTGTTATAAGTCAAACTATAGGAGAAAATATTTTATTAAAGTCAATAACTTTTTTCTGAGCATATCCTTTTATTACCAATCTAGCACGATATCGCTCCACTTAATCATCTGCATTTCGCTTGATCTTGTAAACCCATTTATTTCCAGGAGACTTCCTTCTTTCTGGTAGTGACACAAGTACCCAATTCTTATTCTTATGGACAGCTTTAATTTCTTTCTGCATTGCTATCATCCATAAAAATACATCTATGTTGTTTATAACTTCATGAAAAGTTGATGGCTCTCCATCCTCTGTTAAAAGACAATATACAACATTACTCTCCGTAATATACTCCGAGTGCCACGTCGGTGGTCTTATCTCATGAGTTGACCTTCGAATTTCTGGAGCCTTGGACTCGACTGGTTCTTGTAAATCATGCTCTGGTGTCCCTTCAGAAGAATTTGGATTATTTTCTAGCTGAACAGCTACAGTCTCTGAGTTATTCCTTGAAGTGCTTTCTTTTTCTTCACTTTGTAGTTGATTCTCTACAAAGATAACATCTCTGCTGATGATAACCTTACAGGCAGTGGGATCCCACAAGTGATATCTCTTTACTCCGTCAGCATACCCTAAGAATATGTATTTTCTGGATTTTAAATCTAGCTTTGTAATTTCTTGGACATTGTACATTACGTACACTGGACTTCCAAATATATGAAGGTTGGAATAATCAGCTGGCTTGCCGGTCCACATCTCCATCGGTGTCTTTAACTGTATTGCGGTTGATGGAGATCGATTCACCACATAACAGGTGATTTTTACTGCTTCCGTCCAAAAGATTTTATTCAGATTTGTAATTGCCAACATTGCTCTTGGTCTTTCCAACAGAGTTCTGTTCATCCGCTCCGCCACTCCATTTTGTTGAGGAGTATAAGCAGTACTGAATTATCTTTTGATGCATTCTTTCTTGCAAAATGCAAGAAATTCACCATCTGTGCATTCTCCTCCATTATCTAACCTCAATCACTTGATCTTCTTTTCAGATTCAAGCTTGACTCGCGCTTTGTAGGCTTTAAAGATTGAGAACACATCTGCCTTCTTCTTGATAGGATACACTCAACATCTCCTGAACTAACCATCAATAAATGACATAAAATATTTTGCTCCTCCTATGGATGTAACTAGTACTTGCCATACATTAGAAAGAACTAATTCAAGAATAGCATTTCTTCTAGAACTCGATGTGTTGAACTTCAGCCAATGCTGCTTACTTGTAACACAATGCTCGCAGAATAGAAGAGCTACCAAATTAAGTCTAGGAAGTAGCTTTTGATCGGAGAGAATCTTTAAGTCTCGTTCTGACATGTAGCCTAGTTTGTGATGTCACATCATAGTTTGTTCTTCTCCATGACTAATTGATGCCACACATGAATCAACTTCCTATAGCGTTTCTCCCTTGAGCATGTATAGATTTACAACTATCTTTTTTTTTTCTTTTATCACAACAAGCGTCCCTCTAACAATCTTCATGATCCCATTTTCTATATGGGTCTTATATCCGAGCTCATCCAATTGTCCTAAAGATAACATATTCTTCTTCAAGCCTTTCACATGTCGTACATCTTAAATGGTGCGTATTGTACCATCAAATATTTTGATTTTGATTGTGTCAATATCAGAAATCTCCAAGACATGATCATTGTCCATGAATACAGAGCCTCTTGAGATAGGTTCATATTTGTGAAATCATTCTCTCCGGGAGGTCATGTGCCAGGAGGCTGCTGAATCTAGAAGACAGACATCAGCAAACATCTTTCTTCCTTCGTCAACAGTGGTTGCTTCACTGTATAAAATTCCACCATCATCTGATGTGCTGACAATGCATCCTTGAGATGTTGATAGCTCTGAAGACTTTTTATCACTATTTTTCTTATTGTGCCAACACTCTGATTTCACGTGCCCTCTTTTGTCATAATTATAGCATTTAATTTTTTTCTTACTTCTTGATTTTAATCTACCATGGGTATGACTCCCGCTGGAGCCACATTCCGTTGATCTTCCTCTCGTCACCGATAAGGCCTCCGCTTGTTGCGAACTTGCCTACCTGTTTTCCTTATTCTTGCACCGATTTTTTTCCTCCAAAATAGCGGCCGTAATGTTGTCAAAGACTAGATTGTCTGTGAGGACGTTGTTTGTTAGGTTGATGATGAGCTGATCATACGAGTCAGGTAGACTCTGAAGTAGAAGTTCTGCATGTTTATTCACACCGATTGTATGCCCCAACGTTGTGAGTTGGGAGAACAGTGTATTTAGGGTGTTGATGTGGTCGGTTATTAATGTAGATTCTGCAATCCTCATATTGTAAAGTCTCCTTTTTTATGAAGATTTTATTATGCAAGGATTTTTCCTCATATCGCTTTGTTAGAGTATCCCAGATCTCCTTTGTTGTCTTTTTCTCCTCTATGCTTGACAGCACCCCATCTGCTAATGCCGGATAGAGATTTGCAATAGCATTTCCGTTCATCTTGTTCCACTTCTTATTATCTGTGATGTCAGCTGGCGTTACATCGATGACCACTAATCAATTATCTTTTCTCAAGATAGCATTTATTTTTAACTTCCACAGTGAGAAATTACTCCCATTGAATTTCTCAATCTTAAACTTTGTCATCATTAGTTCTACCACGAACAATAACTTCTTATTATTTCATATAAACAGTAATTGTATTTATAAATAGTAATGATGTCAGTGAATAGTATATTGGTCTTGAGAGTGGAGACCTAAACCTAGAATCAAAATCAACAATCGCATAAAAATTCAAGACATGCCATGGATGTGGTCTGCGTCACACCAGAGTGTGACAGAATCTGCCCTGTTTACCAATGGGTGTGGTCTGTGTCATACCAGGGTGTGGTAGAATCTGTCCTGTCTGCCATGGGTGTGGTCTGCGTCACATCAGGGTGTGGCAAAGTCTGTCATGTCTGCCATGGGTGTGGTCTGCGCCACACCAGGGTGTGGCATACTCGTTTTAGAATCCTAATCTGTTTGGAATTGTGTTTTGTTATAAATAGAAACACGTCCCTTTAGGGTTTAAGAGAGAAAAAGAGCACGAATAAAGGGGGTTTTGAGGGCTCTTTGAGATTAGAAATCTTAGAGAGAGAGAGAGAGGCCAATTGCAAGCATTGTAATATTCTTCAAGTAATCAAAGAATTATGTGGTGTGGCTCCCGAGAACGTAGGCACGTTACCAAACCTCGTTAAATCTGGTGTGTTCTTTCTTGTTTACTTTCCTACAAGTTTTTATCTTTGATTTGTAGTGAATTTCTTTCTTGCTCAACTCTCAAACACAAGATCCGGAAGGGTACAGATTTGATTTGATTATTTTGAATCCCCAATAACTGACATCAGAGCTTCGTTCAGCAATTTGTGTGAAAGAGAGCCATGACAGAGGAAATCAAATCTAAGATTAAGAAGTTTGACGGTTCAGACTTCGCCTACTGAAAGTCACAAATGGAGGACTATCTTTACTAGAAGGACTTGTATCGCCCGTTGATGGGCAAGGAAAATGGACAGAAGAAAGAGGAGTCAGATAATGATTGAGAGATACTGGATAGGAAGGCTCTAAGGTAAATCCGGTTGTCACTCGCCAAATCAGTAGCCCATAATATTTTGAAGGAGAAGACGACGGTGGGGTATATGGAAGCGCTCGCGAAGATGTACGAGCAACCATCAGTAGCAAATAAGGTGCATCTCGTCAAAACTCTTTTCAACCTCAAGATGGTAGAAGGACGATCCTTCACGATGCACCTCAGTGAGTTCAACACGATTGTTGATCAGCTTATCTCCATAGACATCAGTTCAATGACGAAGTGCAGGCCCTTTTACTACTATCGCAGTTGCTGGATAGTTGGGCAGATTGTGTGACGGTAATCAGCAATTCGGCGGGGAAGGAAAAGTTAAAGCTGAGTGAGGTTGTTAGCATGATTCTATATGAGGAGGTTAGAAGAAAATTATCCGAATCAGAAGGTTCAGGTTCAACTCTAAGTTTCGAGCAGAGAGGCAGAAGCCAGAAGAAAGGAAACCAGAACAGGAATCGGTCGAAATCAGTGAAGAAGAGGTCGAACTCGAAGGTTAGGCTTATCAAATGAAAGTGTTGGAACTACGGCCCGGAGGGCCATATGTCTTCAGTCTGTAAGAGTCCAAAGAAGGATGCGGGTGAGCAGGATGCTCATATCGTGCAGGATGCCTTGATCCTTGCTATGGACAGTGATTCGGATTCTTGGGTCATCGATTCAGGAGCCTCTTTCCACGCCACTGCTAACAGGAAGCTCTTTCAGAATTATGTAGCAGGGGACTTTGAAAAAGTATATTTGGGGAATAACGAGCCCTGTAATATTGAGCAGGGGACTTTGAAAAAGTATATTTGGGGAATAACGAGCCCTGTAATATTGTTGGAAAGGGTGAAGTACAGATTCAAATGAAGGGCTCTAAGTGGACCTTGAAGAACGTGAGACACGTGCCGAAGCTGAAGAGGAATCTTGTTTCGGTGGGACAACTTGGAGCAGAAGGCTATGTTTTGATATTCACAGGGGATTCGTGGAGAATCTCTAACGGTACGATGATAGTTGCTCGAGGCAACAAACTATGAACTTTCTACCTCACCTTAGATGCGAGTGATACCCTCGCAATTGCAGCTGGCATAGAGAGTACAGATCTGTGGCACAACAGGCTAGGGCACATGAGCGAGAAGGGGATGAAGATCTTACATTCACAGGAAAAGCTAACCGGAATCGACTCCGTGGAAGTTGGGGTTTGTGAAGACTGTATCTTTGGGAAGCAGAAGAGGGTTAGTTTTCAGAAGGGTGGAATGCCACCTAAGGCTCAGAAGTTAGAATTGATTCATACAGATGTATGGGGCCCAACCAGTGTATTATCTTTTAGCGGTTCGAGATATTATGTCACATTCATCAACGATCACTCGAGGAATTTGTGGATCTACTTCATGAAGCACAAGTCAGAGGTGTTTGGAATCTTCAAGAAGTGGAAGGCCATGGTGAAGAACGAGACAGATCTGAAGGTGAAATGTCTGAGATCAGACAATGGTGGAGAATACAAGCTGGAGGAGTTCAAGAGGTTCTGTGCTATGAATGATATTCACTTAGAGAGGACTACTCCAGGGACGCCGCAACAGAATGACATTACAAAGAGGATGAACAGAGCCTTGACAGAGCGTGCCAGGAGCATGCGACTACATGCAGGTCTGCCTAAGATATTTTGGGCGGATGCGGTGCATACGACAGCTTACCTTATTAATCACGGGCCATCAGTTCCATTAGATTTTGGGATTCCAGAGGAGGTTTAGAGTGGAAAGAAGATAAATCTCTCACACTTGCGGGTATTTGATTGCGTGGCTTATGTTCATATCAGTGACCATGTCAAAGACAAGTTAGAAGCTAAGTCACAGAAGTGCACATTCATTGGATACAGCATTGATGAGTTCGGGTATCGCCTTTGGGATGAGAAGAACATGAAGATCATCAGAAGCAAGGACGTGATATTTAATGAGGAGGTGATGTACAAGAACAGGGAAGATGCCAAGGATAGCCAAAGCAGTGAGAGTAGCATTTCAGATACAGATGGATCCGAGTACATGGATTTAGAGGAACTTCCAGATAGGGGTGATGATGTTTGTTCTGATCAGAGAATGGAGAAAGCTCCATGTGCAGAAGAAACTACCCAGGGCGTGGAGCTTAGGAGGTCATCCAGGGTATCCAAACCAAATCCCAGATATCTTTCATTTCTTGACTACCTATTGTTGACAGATAGCGGTAAGCCGGAGTGCTATGAAGAGGCAATGCAAGTGAGTGAATCTCAGCAGTGATCGTGATAATAGCAAATCCACCATAGTCTATGTGTTTGTGTCACGCTATGAAGCACGGATACAGATACGGGACACGGATACGACACAGACACGGATACGAGATACGACAAAATCAAAAAAAAAAGGATACGGGGATACGACGAGGAATTTTTTTTCAAATTATTACTATATATAAAAATTTTTATAAAATTCAACTAACAATCTAAATTATGAATCTATCACAAAATAACAAATTTGTAAACAAAAAGGAATTAGAGTACATACTCATTCTATCACAAAATGTGTAAACAAAAAGAAATTAGAGTACATACTCTACTCATTCCATCACAAAATAACAAGTTTGTAAATAAAAAATACATCAAGATCAAGTGGAAGCTAGTCTGATGACTTCTTCATTGCCTTCATCATCAGCAAACAATACAGCCTCCATGGTGGGTTCATCAAGAGACAAGGTGGCGACATCAAGAATACCGGCACCCTGAAATGAGTCGAATGCATCTCCACCAATATCCCACAGCTTCGATTCTCCGTCTTGATATTCTTGGGATGGCCGAGAAAGAAAACGAAGATTGCTATGCACATACACAAGATCTTCTGCCCTTAACAGTGTCATCTTGTTCCTCTTCAAAGAGTGAATGAATGAGTATGTACTCCAATTCCTTTCGCAGCAAGAGGATGAGCAGGGTTGGCCTAGAAGCTTTAAGGCCAATGCTTGAAGATTTGGAGTTGAGGATCCATAGAGCACCCACCATGATTTTGGATCCATCAATCCTCTATCGGTAAGAGAATCTGGATCCCTAAAAGTGTCAAGAGCAGCCGAGAATCTAGCAAATTCCAAGTTAACCGTCCTCCGTTCATCGGCATTAGGATAATATCTCCTCAGACACTTGGACCTTTCCGAAGAGATCTCCTCATCCTGATGGGGTGCTTGCCGATGGATATTCTCATTGAGCCATGTCTCGTGATAATATCTATTAAAGTTTATCATTGAATTAAACATTATTAATAGAAATAATCACATAAAAAATAATGAATTGATAACATAATCTAAATTATTACCTTGGATTCAAAGAGTGCGCCAAGCACTCAAGTGGAGTGTTGCTCTTATTCCATCTATCCTCCAAGATCTTGTGTACGACATTATAAAATGAGGAGGGATCATTTTCTCTTTTGCTCTCATGTCTATAAATAACAACCTTCACCTTCTTAATCATTGTATCCCACATATCATATACCAAATGAAGGCTAGGCTTGTCGGTATCGGTGAGTCGAATCATATCATATATAGGAGCAGTGAAAGCAATAACATAATCCATCCTATTCCACCACAAATCATCAAGCACTTTCTCCTTAACAAACTATGCTTTTCCCACATCATCATCTCTGTACGAGCTCCAACGGTCGCTAAGAACCATATCTTGGAGGCTTCTCTTAATCACCATGAACCTCTTTAGCATGATGATCCATGAAGCAAATCGAGTATCAGCAATTGAAAGAAGCTTCATCTTTGAATACTCATTAAACATAGCCAACCTCATTGAGTGATTCATGATGAAGTTCTTAATCATCAAAGCATCATCATATACCTCTGTAATCCAGCTGCACTCTGCATAAGGAATTGCATTAGCCTCTGTATTTTTCGCAGTACAAATATTCTTAAGGGCAAGATTGAGGGTGTGAACAACACATGGAGTCCAGAAGATGTGTGGAAATTTACCTTCCACAACTGCCCTTGCGGCCTTGCATGCCGAAGCATTATCAGTAATGATTTGGATCACATTTTGAGGCCCCACCTTTTTAATGCAAGCTTCAAGCTTCTCTGCAATGAAATATTTATTCTTCTGCTCACCCTCGATATTCACGCAGTGCAAGAACATTGGTCCATTGTCTGAGACCGCAATGAAATTTATCAGTGGCCTCATTTGTGCATCTGCCCAGCCACCGCTATAAATAGAGACCCCCTTCTACTTCCATGTGCCCCTGATGGGCTCCAACAACCTCTCTACGTGAGCCTTCTCACGTTGCAAAAGAGTGGTCCTCAAAGAATTATAACCCGGAGACTTGTAACCGGCAATTGAATTGCTTGCGGCATATGATCATCTTGGAGAAATAAGGATTTCTTACTAAATTAAATGATAACCCACCGGTATAGAACATCATTGCAATCATTGAATCCAATTCATCTCTTGCCCCTGTATTGAAGGCCTGTTTAACGGTGGTGACTCCCCTCCTCCTCTTTGGCTCAATTGGACGAGATGGCATGCTTTGACTTCCTACTGCTGCACTTGACGCTGAAGAACCTGGCAACGTCACTATCTTAGGCATATAAGCCCTCACCCTTACTTCTGCTTGATCCATATCAGTTTGCATGTCTCTCAAATTAAGCGTCTTAACACATTTGCACATTTTAATTCCTTGCCCACTAATCCGCATTAGATGGGCTTTGACCCTTGAGTAGGAGGATGTAAATACTTCATTACAATAACTACACATCCACTGCCAGTTCCCCCCTCCTTTACCCATCTTCTCCAACTTCGTGACATACTTCCACAAAGGAGTGTGATTATCTTGAACAGACTGTACACCACCAGAACTACCTTCTGCTTCCATTGCTATAAACAACAAGTACTAATTAGACTGTACACCACCAGAACTACCTTCTGCTTCCATTGCTATAAACAACAAGTACTAATTAAATATTAAACCATAACATATATAGAACGTAATATTCTGCTTCCATTGCTATAAACAACAAGTACTAATTAAATATTAAACCATAACATATATAGAACGTAATACGGTTAGTATAAACTATAAACAAATAAAAAGTACAAATTACAATGCAAGAGATATGTATTTTCATTTAAAATATGAAATATGTTTTTTAATTAAGAATTAAGTGATTAACAATTAAATATTTACATGTTTATAATTTATTAGTTAGCATGCTAATAATTATTTTAAGCTCTTTTTTATAATTATACTAATTAATAAGTTGTTGCTCACTGACTTTATTTTTCTTTTTACAGATTATACTTAGAGTTAAGCAGCAATGAGCAAGGATGAAGGATCAATCAAAATTTCCAACACAATTGCCAAAATAAATATCCGTAATTCATTCATTAAATATGTATATTCATTTGTGTAATAATTTATTTATGTAATAATTCATTTGTGTAATAATTTATTGACTAACAAAATTATTGACTAACAAATAATTCAGAGGTGTAATAATTCATTGTCTAACAAATAATTCATTGCCTAACAAATAATTCATTTGTATAATAATTTTTTGACTAACAAAATTATACTGCAGATTCGTTTGTTGATATAAATTAAATGTTCAAACATTCCCAATGCTTAAAATATTCGAAGGTGTTGATATTTAAAACACAATAACGTTCATTGCAGATTCATTTGTATAGAAAATGGACAAAATTCCCAATGCTTACTAGACATATCAATGAAATTCATTTGTGTAATGTTAACAATTCATTTGTGTTAAGAAACTGAAATTGAAATTAAAAAATATTCATATGTATTAAAACTGAAATTGAAACTAAAATTGAAAAAAATAAATTACCAAAAGAAGAATAGGATTTCAGCAGTATCACGAAGCTGCATAAACAAAAAAAAGTTAGTTTTCTAAAAAAAACAAACATAAGAGAGACTGATAGGGACGGAGAAGGGAATCAGTGAGAGATGAAGAGATCGACAGAGAGAGAGAGAGAGAGACAAACAGACGATTGAGAGAGAGAGACTCAGAGAGGAGAGATTGAGAGAGAGACTAAGAGAGAAAGCGATTGAGAAAGAGAATAAGAGAGAGACTGAGAGAGAGAGACTCGAGAGAGATCAACAGAGAGGGAGAGACGAAGCGTCGAGAGAGAGAGAGAGAGAGAGAGAGAGAGAGAGAGAGAGAGAGAGAGAGAGAGAGAGAGAGAGAGAGAGAGAGAGAGAGAGAGAGAGAGAGAGAGAGAGAGAGAGACTAAGGACGAGCGTCGAGCGTGAAGGATGAGGAGATCTTCGTCGAGCGTCGATCGTCGAGGTCGAGGACTCCGAGACTTCGTCGAGCGTCGAGGTCGAGGAGATCAGGGTTTGGGTCGAGGTCGAGCGAGGAGATTAGGGTTTGGGTCGAGGTCGAGCGACAAGGACGAGGGAGCAAAGAGACCCCAGATTTGTGGCGGCGTCGGCTTCAGGTAAGCGAAAGAAAGATAGGGTTTTGTTTTGGGGAATTGGGTTTGGATTTCGGGTTTACTTTTTTTCATCCATTTTTTTTCTTTGCATCAGCCGTATCCTAGCTGTGTCCCATAGACTGTTTGACCGCGTCCCCTCTATTTTGACCATTAACCCGTGTCGGACACGGATTGACCGTGTCCGACACGCGTCGTGCACGTGTTGTGCACGAATCCGTGTCTGATTCGTGTCGGACACGGATACGTGGCCTCTGGAGGTGAATCCGTGCTTCATAGAGCCCAGCTACCTGCACAGAAGAAAGTCTTATATAACAAATGAGTCTACCGGGTCAAGCAGGAGAGTGATGAAAACAAGAGATTCAAGGTCAGGTTAGTAGTGAAGAGGTTTCAACAGCGGGAAGGAGTGGACTACACGGAGATATTTTCCCCTGTTGTGAAGCTCACAACCATCAGAGTGGTATTGAGTTTGGTGGCTGCAGAAGATCTCTTTCTTGAGTAGTTAGATGTGAAGACTGCCTTTCTTCATGGTGACTTGGATGAAGAAATTTACATGAAGTAGCCTGTTGACTTCATTGAAGAAGGAAAAGAAGAGATGATGTGCAAGCTCAAGAAGAGCTTATATGGTTTGAAACAGGCTCCGAGACAGTGGTATAAAAAGTTTGATAACTTCATGCAGAATAATGGCTACAGAAGATGCAATTCAGATCATTGTTGTTATTTCAAAAGGTTCGAGTCCAGCTTTATTATTTTGTTATTATATGTTGATGACATGTTGGTAGCAGGACCATGTTTAGAGGAGATAAACAGTTTGAAGAAGCAGCTAGCAAAGGAGTTTGCAATGAAGATCTGGGTGCAGCGAAGCAGATTCTAGGGATGCGAATCAGTAGGGATGAAGCTGAAGGGATATTAAGATTGAACCAAGCTGAATATATTGAGAAGGTACTTCAGAGGTTCAACATACATAATACTAAAGTTGTTAGCACACCCCTTGGAAGTCAGTTCAAGCTATCTTAGGAGCAATCTCCTAAGACAGATACATATATAGAGCATATGAGCAAGGTGCCATATTCTTCGGTCATTGGGAGTCTCATGCACGCGATGGTTTGCACGAGACCGAACATCGTCCATGTAGTGGGAGTTGTGAGCAGATTTGCAAGCAATCCAGGGAAACAGCATTGCGAGGCCGTGAAGTGGATAATGCGGTACTTGAGAGGGACAACGAACAAGCCATTATGTTTCAGGAGAAAGGAGTTGGTGCTGCAGGGATACGTGGATGCGGACTTCGCCGGTGATCATGATACGAGACGAAGCACCATGAGGTATGTTTATACCTTAGCGTCGACAGCAGCGAGCTGGGTCTCACGTCTGCAGAAAATTATGATTTTGTTTACAACCGAGGCTGAGTATGTCACGGTGATTGAAGCAAGTAAGGAGATGATCTGATTGAACGGGTGCTTGGAAGAGTTGCATCTGAAGCAAGGGAGAGGAGTTCTTTATTGTAATAGCCAGGCGCTATACATCTTACCAAGAATCCAGTATATCATGCCAGAACGAAACACATCGACGTCAAATACTATTTTATACGCTCGCTAGTTGAAGACGGAAAGTTATATTTGATAAAGATTTTAGGGAGTCAAAATCCGACGGACATGTTGACGAAGGCAGTTACCATTGAGAAACTGGAGTTGTGTGCAACTTCAGTTGGCCTTCACGAGTAGAAGATGAATGCGGAGCCACACTATGAGGATTGGCGAGATCGCCGGGATGGTGATGATTGAATAATAGATTTTTTAAGTAGGAGAAGATGCTTGCGAAGAAGGCGGAGTTCGGGAGAGCTCATTGATGGTGGTTTGATCTCCAAATGGGAGATTGTTGGTCTTGAGAGTGGAGACCCAAACCTAGAATTAAAATCAATAATCGCATAAAAATTTAAGATAGGCCATGGGTGTGGTCTGCGTCACATCAGGGTGTGACAGAATCTGTCCTGTCTGCCATGGGTGTGGTCTGCGCTACACCAGGGTGTGACAGACTCGTTTTAGAATCCTAATTTGTTTAAGATTGTGTTTTGTTATAAATAGAAACACGTCTCTTTAGGGTTTAAGAGAGAAAAAGAGCACGAAAAAAAGGGGGTTTTGAGGGCTCTTTGAGATTAGAAATCTTAGAGAGAGAGGTCAATTACAAGCATTGTAATCTTCTTCAAGTAATCAAAGAATTGTGTGGTGTGGCTCTCGAGGACGTAGGCACCTTGCCGAACCTCATTAAATCTGGTGTGTTATTTCTTATTTACTTTCCTACAAGTTTTTATCTTTGATTTGTGGTGAATTTCTTTCTTGCTCGACTCTCAAACACAAGATCCGGAAGGGTACGGATTTGATTTGATTATTTCGAATCCCCAACATAGTATTATGCTTATGAATAGTATCTTATTTATGAACAGTACTGTACTCGTGAATAGTACCCATCGCCTTCAAATGGTAAATAATAATCTAGCTTATTTTCCGATGTGAAAGATCCATCTTTGGTGATAGCCACAGAGCATACGATAAGTAGATACACACACCCTAAGCCAGACTTTGATACCACTTGTTGGGACAAATTTGGGGCCCAATAGAATAAGATCTCAACGAATAGTAGAGTGAAAGTAATAAAAAGAACACATAGATTTACGTGAAAAACTCCCTAAATGAATTTGGGGTAAAAATCACGGATAAGAATAGAAGAATCCACTATGAGGAAAAACTTTGGAGTTGCAATCTCTCTCTATATGGAGTTGTTTCTGGGATGGATTTTTCCTGAAAAGTTTTGAGCCTATTTATCGCGGCTGGGAAAATACTATTCCTAATTTTATAATATTTTTTCTTTTACTATGTCAACCTTTTGATGCCCGCTTTCCAATTTCGGTGTATTTATTTTTGTGGGGCCCGTCACCTTTTTGTTTGTCCACAATTGCTACTGTCAGCAATTGCGGATGACAATCAATACAGGTAACTTCAGGGTGGAAATCACGGATTGATGATTCAACCTATTATTTCTAAATAGTCCTTGATAGTGTAAAAATAATGCAGAGAAGTCATGTAATAAGATGGCATAACGATAAAAGCACAATGAGGAAGGTCAGAAAATTGAAAATTTTGCAAATTAGAGAAGGTATAGGATTAGAAAAATAAATGATGAGTATGTAACGGAGAACTATCCATGGGCAATGTGAAAACTAAGAGTAGAGAAGATATATAAGGTCGAACTCAATTAAATGGATCATAGATTGGTAATTCAATCTTAGCAATGGCATTCTCTTTTGCTAATGGATAAAAGCTTTTTCTACAAAACCGCTGAATTTAGTAATATAAAATCAAATTGTTCATGATAGCGAATGTCACATGTCAGGAAAACACATGAATAAACTAGAATCAAACAAGAAGAGCACCATCTGTTTCTTCAATAAAATCAAACAGCCCAGAGTCATTACATTAGATCGTTAGATTTAACAAAGAAATCAAGTTATTTAACTCTTGTTTAAGTTAGTAAACTATATATCTTTGGACTCTGTAGTTTCCATATTTTTCTCAAAAGTGCCAGAAGGAACTTCTTGGCCTCTTGGCCTCCATTACCATTTAATACATATTTAATTGTTCTTTACTTCAGTAAACCGGATATATTTGAAGCCCTTCTCTTTCAATATAAACTCAAAAGCATCCATCACCATTTTCCTACATATTTCCATGTATTTGTCCAAAGTACCAGAAGGAACTTCTTGGCTGCCATTACCCTTTTCTACACATTTAAATTCTTCTCTAAGTTAGCAAGCGGATATATTTGAAACCCTTCTCTTTCAGTACAAATTCAAAAGCCTCCAGCACAATTTTCCTACATACTTGCATGTATTTCTCCAAAGTTCCAAAGGGACTTCTTGGCCTCCATCACCATTTTCTGCATATTAATCCTTTTTTTATATATAGAAAAAGGATGGGATTCTTACCATAAGATGGTAGGTCCGTACTGTTTTTTATAAATTAGTAAGCCAAATATATTTGGAACCCTTCTCTTTCAATATGAATTCAAAGATATATCACCATTTTCCTACATATTTCCATGTACTTCTCCAAAGTTTCAAAGGGAACTTCTAGGGAGTAGTAGAACTGATAATGGGTTGGTGTAACTTGATTTTCATTTGTTCCATTAATTTGTAAAAAGTCTCAGCTAAACATCAAGGTGTCATCTTCCATGAAAATAAACATGGCCATGAAATTCAGTTTCAACACTTGCTCACTCTCTGGTTCTTTTCTTCGTTACCACTCTCCAAGGAACAAACGTAACCGCTACTTCCTCCAATATGATCTTTTATTATGTTAAACATTCACATTAATTCCCCTACTACTTAGTGTGTGATAAACCACATTCTGATGTCATAGCCAAATTTATGTCAAGGGCATTCGTGTTCTAAAGAATGATTGTTCGCTATCCTGCTCCCACCTAAGCAAATAAAATCTCCTACATGATTCTCTCAGCACGGAAAAAACGGAGAGGTATGCCCCGTGCTAATCCTAGAGATTGGCAGGTCAAAAGGCTTTTCGTTTTCCACCATATCCTACAAGATTTCATGAGAATAATAAGATTGATTATATTCACTAACCCCGTGTCATGAAATCCACTGCCCTCTGTGGGGACTCTAAAGGGTGGAGAGGTTCAATTACACTTCCTCTCATGCTCACACTTCACATTCTTTCTAGTCCAAAAGTAGATTCCAAATCTCCAAGACTTCACCTCCACTATTATATATAGCACCTCATTGTCTCTCATTTCCCTCGAACTTGAAACTGGTTACTATCCTCTATTTAACATTGTTACTCAAAAATGTCAAGGGATCCTCTTGTTGTGGGTAATGTTGTTGGTGACGTATTGGATCCATTTCGCAAGTCAGCTTCATTAAGGATAATCTACAACAATAAGGAAGTCACTAATGGGTCTGAGCTCAAACCATCAATGGTGATGAATGAGCCGAGGGTGGAAATTGCAGGGCGTGATATTAGGACGCTTTACACTCTCGTAAGTAATATCTTATTACCATATAGAATAATAATAACATTGATAGTTTGATTATAGAATTTAATATATCTGTTCATATTTTTCTGAAAGAAGGGTGAGAATTGTAATTGTACTTGAGCACAAAGGGGTCTAGAGAATTGGAAGAAATGATGTGATGTTTGTTAGGATTGTAGTGAATTACTCCCTATCAGTAGACTAAGTTCTTGCAAGTTTATTTTGTAGGACCTTCTCCCACCAAAAAATGTCAATTTTACTTCAACCACCCCAAATTTATTCATACAGAGAACTTTGTTCAGGAGACAGGATGGCAGAGTAGACTTGTTATGATAAGAATCAATCATGAGGATCAAACTACGAAGACGTTACCTTTGATTTTGACTTGCACTGAAGGAAAAAGGCAGTGATGGGAGAGGAATCAAATAAATTGACTTGATACTTTAGAAAAGTCTACATGTCACTCTTCTTTTCCAAATTCTTTCATCCAAAGAGAAACGACAAACTTCTGTCGTCATAGTCTAATGTTCGTCAAACCATTATAAATTCCTTCTGCCGGATTAGGAACCCAAAAAGTACTTCATTCCAAGAAAATATATTTCCTTGGATAGTACTGAATGTGGCAATTAGGTGGAGAATCTAGATAACCGGATAAAAAATGCAAGCATTTAAGTTTTGGCTAGCCTTGAAAATTTGGGGACCTCAATTTTAAAAGTGATCATGAGGAATCAGCATTCATATAAATAAAGTATTCAGATAAAATAAAGGGAAGAATAAAGAAACAAGCAAGACAAGTGTCACCCATTTTCTGTGGTCCTATAAAAATTCTTCTGTATAAAAATGGAACTAAGGATTTCTTTGGATATCAAATCACTCTTGTAAATAGTCATCATGATTCATGACCATAAATTTAGTTTTACCCATCCCTTATTCGCCAAACTATTCTCCTGGCGCATTATTTCTAATAAATATGAACCTTATTTTAAAAACAAAACGCATCTTCGCATTCTAATATATAATCTTCTTTTTCTTTTTTCATACTTAGCTAAGACTTTGACAACAGAAACAGATGACTTTTCTCATATTCATTTTCTTTTTCATGCATTTCTTCATAGTCATAGATGCTTTAAGGACTGACAACCTTTTCAAGAAACAAAGACTGAAAAGATGCATAATTATCTCATGTTCAAACATTTTTTTGTGGGTAATATCTTAAATTATTTTTGGTAAAAGAAAATGAGTTTTAGGTCTGAAAGTGTCAAGATACGTCAATACCTATAATGTCATCTTGATATAAGGCTGGATAGTCATTGAGTAAACTTGAATAAGATCATAAACTTCTTGCTTGATTTCCTTGTGGTTGATCTGTTCAACTTTTAACCCTTGGAAATCTGGTTTAATTTTTTCAAAGGTAATGATAGATCCTGATGCGCCTAGCCCAAGCAACCCGACCAAAAGAGAGCACTTGCACTGGTAAGCCCCAACTCTATTTGTTATCCACAGTGATGATTCATGAATTATCTATAGCTTATTATTAAGATTTTATAATCATAAAAGGGAGGACTATACATAGTGTACGTTGGGAAAAATTAACCTACATTAGTATTTCAAGATTTTGTCTATTAACTTATGTTCAGCCTTAGAAAAAACCATGGGAGCAATTTTTTCTTTTTTTCTTTTTTCTTTTTGTGTGCATGGTATCTCGTAATATATTAATAATTTCATGAAAACAATAGCATAAATGTGTCATGTATAGAATGACGAACTGTCCACTTCAGCATGTTTGTGATCTTCAAAACAAATTATTCAATATAGGAATATTCGACTATGAAGTTATATTGAAAAGGGAATATATTGAATTTGAACAATAAGAAGAACGTATAAATGAAGTTACCTCTTTGAAAACTTTATCTAGAGGAAAAGTTCACAGTAGAGATTTAGCAACAAGAGGAGCTTGTAGCTTTATGCAACCCAGCATCAACAATCAAAGAGATTCCACACATCTGATCCACTTGAGTATATCAGCAAATCTACAAAGATTCCTTCACATGGGCATGGCTCTATAAGAACAAATGTTAGTAAGGAAACTTAAAATAATGTCTTACTTTTAACATGAATAATATTTGCTTTGAGCTTTAACTTTGTTGCTAAAACTAAACAAGCCCTATCGATGGATATGTACTCAGGATGGTATGAGCTTAAGATCCCATGACTTAGAATAGAATATACAAGAGAAGGGCAGAAAAAAAGAGAAACAGATACTGATTTTGTAGATAAATTTTGACTAAATAACTATCTATACCTTCTGACCTACTTAACCACACACCCAAAAATTTATTCTAATTGAATTTACTTATGTTGTTTACTTAATAAAATTACTATGATACCAATTCTGCTCCATCATATCAGTTTTCAAATAATAATTAATATTTTACTTTACGATGTCCCTGCACCTTCTCTTTTTGGATATTTGACATATAAATCCATAAAAGAAAACGAGACCTGTATTAGCTCAACTAGTTATTATTTGAATGAACTTTATTGGAAGTTATGAATCTGAAATATTTCTGATAAACTCATTAGAAGCTGTTTAGTCGCTTTATGTCAATAGGCGTTAAGCAAATGCGTGTTGTTTCAGGAACATACATGAGCAACAACTAAGCTTCATTTGATAATTGTTTTTTAGGTTGGTGACAGACATTCCAGAAACAACTAATACAAGTTTTGGTAAGTAGCAATAGTATAAATTTTTCTTTTGTTATATGTCCTCAAAAGAATTTAACCCTGGTATTGAAGTTTGACAATTCTGTTTCAGGAAATGAGATTGTCTCCTATGAAAGTCCACAACCGACGGCTGGGATTCACCGGTTTGTGTTTGTGCTCTTCAGGCAGACAGTTCGACAGACAATTTTTGCACCTGGATGGCGACAGAACTTCAATACCAGAGACTTTGCAGCACTTTATAACCTGGGACCACCTGTTGCTGCCCTGTACTTCAATTGCCAGCGAGAGAATGGTTGTGGTGGTAGAAGGTAGAAGTTTCGACACAAATAAGAATAGTAAACATATTTCCTTTTTGTCTATAGAGACATTCATAAGCAAAAGGATTAATTGTGGATTGACCCCCTTACTATTGCCCACTTGTGGGTAGACCCCCCGTAATTCTATTGTGGCAGATAGATTCCCATGTACTATTGCGCAGATAGACCCCCTGAGTGGATTTTTAAATTCAGGAGGTCTATTTGTTTAGAAATAAATTTCTCTTTCTCTGAGTGTAAAACAGTGAAAAAAATTTCACTCAGGGCTCTATCTGCAACATAGAACTACAAGGGTCTGTCAGCAATTAACCCTAAACGAAAACACATTCGCTATCAACATTCAAAGATCAAGTCCCATTTTAGCATGATCTTCTTGTTAGCTTTCATAAAGTATAGGCTCATGATGTTTAAAGACAGACAATTATTTTGAGAGACAAGCCTAGTGAAGGATGCTAGCATATTCTTCATGGACAGATATTTTCATGTTATCACCATATTATCTCCCAAGCAGTGACTGTTAATTTCCTCTCGCAATATCTTCCTTCCTAGCATCTTGCTTTGATCCGAAAGCCAAAAAAACAGAATAAAACTTTGAGCAATTATTAATTTTTAAGTCTATCTGAAGAGAAGAATTATGTTTGATGCCTCATGAACACATCTGGAGCATCTTTATTGGTGTGTAAGATCAGGTACAACTCATTTATAAGTTATTCGCTAGTTATCTGCAAAGTAATAGTTCATTAAACTGTTATCTAAAAGCTAAACTAGAACTACTTAACTACCTGCTATGAGCAAGCTTTAAGGTCTAAGAGGGAGGAGATGAATAGAGGAAAACAGTCGATCAAAAATACAAGCGTAGAACAATATCAGAAAGAAAAAAAATCAGTAGTTGACAAGTCCATGTGCTAAGAAATCAATTGTTGACACGATGGTCAGAAGGCTGGAAACATGATTAGACAAGCAGTCGATCTCTGTTTCAGAAAATGTCACAATAAAAGTCAAAAAGGTAAAATTCCTCTTCTAGACCATTACGCAATAAAAGAATAAAGTCTATAGAAATTTATAGCTATTCCTGAACCATAAGGATTAAAGCAAAATTTCTCTGTATCATTTAAGTACAATATTTTCAAAACAGTGCCATAAATATGTTTTCCTGAATTTCACTGTCATGTCTACAAAGTGAAATTGAAATTATTTTCTTCCATCCTTCATTATGCTCAGAATTTGTTGAATGTGTCTTTTTACAGATTGCCTTTGGGGAAGCTCATTTCTTTTCTCTCTTTTATGGATGGCAGGTACCGACCTGGAAGTGGCTGGCTCTGATGATGTACTTATGAAGTTCTAATAATCAGGATATCAATTTCTTTTGGTTTAGAGAGCGTTATAAGCTTTCTGCTTTTCTCTATCTTTCTCTTCTTTCTTGCTTAGTGTTCCCAATATATGGTATATTTTCTCATGAAAATTTAGGCAGTTAAGTAAATGCAGTCCCGTAACAGTCCTGTGATTCAAGTTTTTTAAGTAAAAGTACATTAAACTTGTATTTCAAATAGTGCACCCTGAATAAAAATTATAATAAAAGGTATGTTTTAGTTTTGTACACAACAAACCCAGGGGCCAGGGCTTTCACTGTAATAACATTACTACAAAGGGTACTACAACAGAACATTGAAATCATTTGTTGTCAGGAAGAGATTGGAATCATAATATACCATAAGTTATGCACTACTAACATAATGTACAACTCTGCATTTTGAGAACTAAGTAAACTGAATACGAACTATAGGGTTTGGGGGCACTGCAGGAGTAAAGACCTGAGAAAATAATCCCAAAAAAAATTCCTTAATAAGTCCAATAGAAGCTCACCTTTCGGATGAAAAACATGAGCATACAAGGGAGAGTTGAAAATCCCTTGCAAATGTTTCTTAGAAGATGCCTTCTAAAATATTGATGACTTGAAAGCATAACATATTCTCCATGATGAGTCAACTCTCATATTCAGATAGCTAACATCGAGAATCCTTAAGTTCTCATGGACGTTGCTAAGGATTTCGAGTGTGTTTGATCTCCTAAAGATGGTTAGTGAGGTGGAGAATATATCATCGTTCTTGAGAATATATGAAGATAGGTTTCAGAGCTTAGGTCCATCCAAAAGAAAACAGATCATAATTAATCATGATAAATGTAAACCCACTCAGAACTGTGATCCATCATGTTGTACCGTGTCTTGCTAGAATATACAACACCATCCAAATTTCTTCATGTTGATGAGATGTCTCTCCAACTAAGAACTCATAGAGTGTACCATTTACCTCAATTGAACTTGAACCCGGTTCTTTCATTATCCCTTTTTCCTTCATCAATCTCCTCACCCTCGTAACATCACCCCACATATCTTTCATTGCAAATACATGTGACAGAAGAACATACACCCCACTATCACACGGCTCTATCTCAAGAAGATGGCCTAAAATCTTTTCCGAGAGTTCAACATTCTTCTGAGCTTTACAAGCACTCAGCATTGCCCCCCAAATAAGTACATCGGCCTTCATGGGCATTCCTTTGATAAGCTCATAAGCCTCTTCCAGTAGCCCAGCCCTACATAGAAGATCAACCATGCATCCATAGTGCTCTATTCTAGGTGTGAGATTGTAAACTTTGGTCATGGCAACAAAAAACCAACGACCTTCATCTATCAAACCACAATGAGAGCATGCACCCAATATTGCAATGAAGGTAACATCATTAGGATTAATACCTATTCTGACCATCTTATCAAAATAATATAGGGCATCTCGACCACGCCCATGCATAGCCAATCCCCGTATTAATGCATTCCATGAGAAAATGTTCTTGCACGGCATCTCATTAAACGTTCTCAAAGCCCTGTCTAAGCACCCACACTTAGCATACATGTCAACCAAACCAGTGCCTATATGAACATCCCACTCGATGCCTTTACGATCAATGTACTCATGAACCCATCTTCCCATTTCTAGTGCGCCCAGGCTTGCACAAGCAGAGAGCACAGTAGATAGCATGACCTTGTCAGTCTTGACCTCAGATACTTGCATCTCGTGGAAAACCTCTATTGCATCACTTGGGCGCTTGCACTGCACTAACCCACTTATATAACTGGTCCACGAGACGATATCTTTATTTGAAATCTCTTGAAAAACTCTTGTTGCCTCATCCATTTGCTCACACTTCACATACATATCAAGAAGAGCATTTCCAGCAATCAAACCTATCTCAACCTCACTTTTCAAGATCAACCCGTGTACTCTCCTTCCAATCTTCAACTCTCCCACTCTCCCACACGCAACAAGCACGCTCACCAACGTTGCAACATTTGGATCCACATCCATTTCACCAAATAATCTCAGCGCAGTACTAAAGAGTCCACCTTTAACATACCCAGAAATCAATCCAGTCCAAGAGACCACATCTCTCACAGGCATAAAATCAAACACCTCTCTTGCACTACCAAACTCCCCACAAATACCATACACATTGATCAAAGCATTCTGAACAAATATATCACAACAGAAGCCCATCTTAATCGCAGCACCATGGAGCTGTTTTGATTCTCGGAACCCTGAGAACCTCGCACATGATTTCAATATCATAGGGAAAGTGTACTTATCAGGGTAAATCCCATCACCCACCATAAGATTATAGATCAAAATGGATGAATGTGGGTTGTTGGTTCTCGTGAAGCCGGAGATTAGGGAGTTGAGGAGGAAGGGGGTTTGGTGTTGGTGGTGGAATTGTTTGAGGGCTTTATAGGCTAAAAATGGATTGTTGAGATTGAGGAGAAGCTCGGCGAGCTTGACGGCGATTGGGTGGTGTTTAGTGAGGCCTGAAGTGAGGAGGAGAGAGTAGAGCTGGGGGAGATTTCTGGTAGGTGGTTCTGCTTGTTGTAGGAGGTTGATAAGTTTGGATTTTAGAGTGTTAGAGATTTTGTTCATAGTGTTTTTGAAATGGGGGTGACAGTTATGTCTGTTATCTGAGACGGAAGCAAAGGAACATAAAAATTCGTCATGTAGTGTAACTGTAAAGACTAGGTCAGGTGTGCGGCACGTGCACATCAGGAATGGGAATAAGAAAGTTGTGGCATCCTCCTTTGTTGGGTTTGGCTACGAGCTAATGACTCCTAATGACTATTGTAATAAATTGACTATTTAAGTGGAAGTTTAGGTGGTTATAATCCCTAAATATATAATTTAGTTCTTTTAAAATTTTGCGCGGATGCAAAAAACATTACAAACCGGATAAGACTTGCAAGAAAAGTTGGGGGCTTATTAGAAGAGAGGAATAAGATTTAGAGGTTTCTTTGTATATTATAAATAAAATAAATAAAAAAAGGGCTTCTTAGAGTAAAAAATAAGGGATTTGGATCCTCTCCACTACAAAAAAGTAGTGGAGAGAACACTACTTTTAATCTCAAGCGTTGATTATTTAGTAGGCGGTTATGATACAATCTAAATCTAACACTTACCATACCCCCGTGTATTGCACTCATTCCTAATTTGCACTAAAAGAAAAAAATCATAACCATCAACTAGATAATCAATGGCTGTGATTATGTAGTGGTCCCTCCACTATTTTTTTTGTAGTGGAGAGGATCCGAATCCAAAAATAAGAACTTAGAGGCTTCTTTGTCAAAAAGATAAGGTTGGAGGCTTATTAGAGGGGAAGAAAAGATAAATTTTAGGAGCTTTATAGACTATATTCTCATACAAACTAACAACTAGCATAGATGAGATATGGGATGATAAAGGCTTATTTATGCACAATTGATCAAATCAACGCCAAAAACTCTAGTCACTTTTTTTTAATCAGAACTCCAACGAGTAATTGACTTGCCCCATTTGGCAAGGGGTTAAGAGAAGGGTTAAAGGGGTTTAACTCATCCCTCGTTAACCATCTAAACAGGTTAATTTTATCAAAGGGTTAACGAATATTTTACGGTGCTGTTGGGCAACGGGTTAAGTGAGGGGTTAAGAAGACTTAACCCCTTCTTAGCCTGTCAAATACAAAAAAATATATTCAAGGGTTAAAGTGAGTTAACCATCTATAGTTTGCCAAACACAAAAAATATAGAAGGGTTAAACTAACCCTTCTGTAGGGATTAAAATAAGTTAACCCCTTAAAATAAGGAAATTACTAATACTCCTATTTAGAAGGTTAAGAGTTAACTCATCTATTTATATAGAAAATAATCAAAATCCTCATTATTCCCAAACACTAAAAATTATCACAATGGCTAAAGTAAAAATTATTTAACAGGTTAACAATTTAGTCCTTCGAGTTATCGGATGGGCTAACTACGTTAATCATTCTCCTTAATCTCTCTTCCTTAAACCTTTGCCAAACGAGGTTGTAGGCTTAAAGTTAGTTAACCTCTTATTTATGGTTACTCCCTCTTGAAATAAGAAATAAAACTTAAACAAAATAAGAACATAATTTAGAATAGTTATGGCAACTAGCCTTCTTAACCCTTATTTATTTGCCAAACAAAAAAATCTTAACCCTTTGTTCTTGACTATCAAATCAAAATGCAATTAAAATTAAGCTCTCTTGAAGTGTTAAGTAAGTTAGCCCTTCCCCTTAATTCTTTTCCTTTAACCCCTTACCCTTACCAAATGGCACTTAAACTAGATGTAGTGGATGTCCAACACATGGATTGCATATGTAAATTGTCCAACACATGGACTGAGAAATGAATATCCAACACATGGACTGAACGTGATAAATGTCCAACACATAGCCTACACATAATAATTGTCCAACACATGGACTAAATGAAATATATGATAAGATGCATATACACTACTTTCACACGTGCCTCGGTGTGCTAACCTAGACTCATGTCCGCAAGTCATCTCAAATGTAGAGATTCAAAATAAACATAAATTTCTAATATTAGATATTCGAGGTGACTCCTCGTTCACATAGAAGTACGCAAAAACAGTAAACATGCCCAAACAGTTTCAGTTAAAACGAAACAACCCAAACAGATCCAAATCGAGGAAAACTGGAAATTTCCTCGTCAGTCGACTCATGAGTTGATTGGGATCATCGGTTGACTCATTAGTCGACCTAACAGACAGGAAAGAAGAAAGCTAAAAATTTCCCGTCAGTCGACTTATTGGTGGACTCATCAGTCGACTCATAAGTCGACTGATAAATCGACTGATAGGTCGACTGAGCCGTCAGATTTCTAGTTTTCGTGCACATGATGTTTATTTGTAAAATCATTTTATCCCATGCATAATATTATATGTTCTAACAAATATGAATCAGTTTAAAACAACAATTTAATATGTAAAATCATCACCAAAAATCCGAAACATGTATACCCATGGTTTAAACATTTTAAAGATAATAAATCGGAACTTTAATCTCTTATTAAAGTGGTTTCAGATCTAGATCTGTGTATTAAGAATCGTTGGTGAGTTTTTTATAAACTGAAAATTTAATTTCTCACATCATATACTATAAAGATCTACTTTTATACACAAAATAATGATTTAGGCTCAATAAATCCGCATCATATACTATAAAGATCTACTTTTATACACAAAATAATGATTTAGGCTCAATAAATCCGAAATAAAACTCAATAAAATCATACAAATTACTTTTATACACAAAATAATGATTTAGGCTCAATAAATCCGAAATAAAACTCAATAAAATCATACAAACGGTGGGTATAGGACTGGGCGAGATGTTACTTGCCTCTGATATGCTGTAAAACTCCTGAACCCTCGGGGAAACGATCCTCCTTCAACAGCACCATAAAAATCCTGCTGTAAATCCTCCAAAAATTCCCCAAATATCACCAAATACGAAGCTAGGGTTTGAGGGGAGAGAGGGGGCTAGGGTTTCTGAGATCTAAAGAAGGTGAGGGGTGTTCTCGGGTAGGAGAGTTTATATATGAGTGGTCAAACCCGAAACAAAACCGAACAGACCCGCAAACTAAAAGAAAAACCCGAAATTAACCCGTCAGTCGACTCATATGTCGACTCATAAATCGACTCATAAGTCGACTGAGCAGACATTTTCTAGATTCGTGCATGTTTTGCTTATTTGCAAAAACCAATGCACAAAACTCCATATATATACACTCTTACATCTCTAATAACTTGTTATCAAGTATATCCATGACCTCAAGCTATTTATCACATATACACTCTTACATCTCTAATAACTTGTTATCAAGTATATCCATGACCTCAAGCTATTTATCACAATAAAGAATTATTTATCACCATCCATGACCTCAAGCTATTTATCACAATAAAGAATTATTTATCACCAATAATTCACATATCTTCATAACCAAAAATACGGGGTTTTACATTCTTCCCCCTTTAAAAAAATTTCTTCCTTGAAATTCAGAAATCATACTTAAACAAATACTATTACTCTAGATAAGCATATCGTGATATTTATATTTAACAATCCAGGATGACTATATTCCCACTCAACCCTTAATCAAATGGAACTAGTACGTCAGGCGAAAAATCCAAACAAGGAACCCCCATATATATATACCATGTGTTCCAAAAGATTAAGAATTAAGCGGAAATATCCTCATTCTAGCGTTAAATCTAAATATAATCATACAAATAATTATACACATAAATCAATCCACTTCCTCAATAGGTGCAGGATGTAGCGCTACATAGCATCTTCGCGCTCTCGAAAATCATCTTCGATGTCTATACTTAACCATCTAAAATGTAAATACCCCCACTTAACCCCTAACTAAATGGAACAAGTACATCAAGCAAAAAATCCAAACAAGGAACCCCTCATATATATACTATATGTTCCGAGTACTTAGGAGTTAAGTGTTAATACCCTCATTTTAGTGTTAAGTATAAACATCGCCATACATGAAACTATAAGTCATACCAAAAATTTAATTTACCTGCTCAAACATATGTGGGTAGTCGCGATGCATGTCATCTTCACTCTCCTAAGAAATCTCCTCAACGCCTCTTCGGTTCCACTGAACTTTCATCAAATGAATTACATTGTTTCTAATCCTCTTGTCCTCTCTGGCAAGTATACAAATCGGAATCTCAATAGTAGTCAAATCCTCCTGAAGCTCTATCTCTGGTGCATCCAACACTCTCTGTTGCTCCTCATCATGTAAATGTTTCTTGAGCATAGAAACATGAAATATATTATGAATACTAGACATCGATGTTGGAAGATCTAGTCTGTATGACACAGCTCTAATGCGCTCCAAAATCCGAAAGGTCCAATATACCTCGATGCAAGCTTTCCCCATCTTCCGAATCGCTGAACGCCTTTCATAAGCGATACTTTCAGCATAACAGAATCTCTAACCTGAAACTCCAAGGGTCTTCGTCTCTTATTTGCATAGCTCTTTTGCCGACTCTGAGCAGATAAAATCCTCTCTCTAATCAATGCTACCTTCTCAATAGTCTGCCTCACAAGCTCTGGTCTGAGCATTAAGCTATCCTCAGGCTCTGCCCAGCATATCGGTGATCTACAAGGCCTCTCGTACAATGCCTCATATGGGGCCATATCGATTGTCGCTTGATAACTATTGTTATAAGCGAACTCTATCAGTAAAACATGATCCTCCCAGCTACCCTGAAGGTCAATGACACAAGCCCGCAACATGTCCTCTAATACCTGGTTCACTCTCTTCGTCTGACCATCCGTCTATGGGTGGAATACACTGCTGTAAGATAGTCTGCTGCCAAACGAATCCTGAAAACTCCTCCAAAAATGCGAAGTGAACACTGAACCTAGATCTAACACAATCGTATCAGGAACTCCATGAAGTCGAACTATCTCCCGAATAAATATCCTCGCATACGTCTCAGCTGTATATGTAGTCTTCACTGGAATAAAATGTGCTGACTTCATCAACCTGTCCACTATCACCCAAAAAGAATCATTCCCCTTCTTCGACTTTGGCAACCCTATAATGAAGTCCATAGAAATATCCGTCCACTTCCACTCTGGGATGGGTAAAGGCTGAAGTGT